AATGTGCCCAGGTGCGCGGGCAGTCACAGCAACAGCATCCCAGCGAGAGCAGGAGGATCAGGAGAACAGAACAAAGCCTGGACAGAGCGGGCTGGAGAACGGGCGGGACGGCCTGGGTGTCCATCGGTCTCCAGCCATGCCTTCCTCCCAGAGGGCAGAAACACCAGCAGGTGTGGGACCAGCAGTTAGCGTAATAGCTATGTCGCTGGACTCCCATGTAGTCGACCGCAGTTCGCGTCCCAGACCCAGTGGCTTAAAACTCACGCAGGGCGCCTGTGCGTGCGTGCCCAAGATCCCAAGAGGAGAATGGAGAAGGGATTGCAGCGTGGCCATGCCCCCTAGGGGGTGCTTTCTCGCTGTCTCTCTGCCTCCCTGCCTGTCTGGAGAGCACACACGCCCTATAGCAAAAACCTTTCAAAAAACAAAACAAAACAAAAACAAAAACACCAGCAGGTGCGTGTTTGCCAGTTTCTAGGGGACACACACTCTTGTGATTAGGCTGTATTTGAATGCTTTCAAGAGATTCAGAAAATACTTCTGTGCTTTCACAAATACTTTTCATTTTTACGAACTTTTGCCAGTGGGCTCATGTGCTTGCCAGAGAGGGAGAAAGAGAGAGAACAATTCCTTCTCTATTTCTCTATCCTGTTGGGATTCGGGGTAAGCATGCACACGCCCCAGCATTTTTCAAGCCACTGAGGCTGGAATTCAAACCACATAGCTGGTCATGTGGGATCTGGCTCCCTCAACCAGGACGCATGGGCACTGACCCAGAAACACTTTTCTGGAATATGAAGAAAATAATATTGTTTAAGCAACTATCCTGAACTAGCGGGAAAAACTCGACTCTTTAGTCCACGTTTTTTATAAACTTAAATATATAAAAATATGACAGAGAAACATACAGCTTAATAAATCCTTACAGAAATCCCCCCAAAAATCTCTGTAATGAATATTTACTAAATAAGAGGAAAGCAACAACTGAGATGTACAACTACATCTCCCAATGTTCAATCAATTTGAACATACGTGAGTCAATAATAAAATTATTAACTGTAGGCTCATACATTTAGGTAAGATTGCATTTTTTAGGCACCTTAATAAAGTTCAAGGGAAAGTCAATAAAAGAACAATTATTTTAATGAATTATGTACGAAACATTTAACTACAAATCCAAGACATCGAAAAACATGTTTGTTTTTTGGTTTATTAACACAAACTACATTTCTGTGCTTCTTACAGTACATTAACAGGCATAAAAAAATCAGTCGACATTTCCAACTACGTTTCATTGACAAAAATCACTCCGTGTTATTTTATAGTACTTCATAGTAATTCTTTTTGTAACAATCGAACATCTCTTTGTACAATAGTTTAACACAGTCCACCAAGACATCTCAGAGCTCTACATGTTTAGATAAGAGCTTGAGTCTCTTTCAAATGCAATCATTAGTTTCTATTAGACTCAAACGCGAGGTGGCAAGTCTCAGGTTCCTAAATAAAATGTGTTAAAAAACAGATTTACAATCCATAGTAAGTCTTACAAATGTCAACGATAGGTCCACCATATCTAAACACTAGAACTATCTGTGGATATAAAAATCTGCATTCAATTATGCACTGTCTTCTGGATCTGAATTAAAACCTTAATTAATTATTGACCCCAATTAACCCTGACATGAATTCTGCTGCTTTCAGTGAAAAAGCCAGGATCATTGACAGCTGATCTTTCCATCAACGGAAAATGCTTTGATCACACAGATCACAGTTCTCTGTGCTTATTCTCTCCAGTGGAGGAAAACACACCCGTTAGATGCAACATTTGATGACAGCAAATGCACGCAAATTCTGCCGCAGTGCCACCTGCTCGTTATCTAACGTCATGTTTCCCAAAATGTTTCTTATGAGATGCTAATGAGAGGTTCTCAAGTGTCCCAAAGAAGGAAAAGGTCCCGGAATGAAAACAGCGTGGGAAATGCTGGGATAAACATGCTCTTCACTGCCAGATGCGGATCCAGCAACACTTTTTCTACAAAACACTGATGAGTATCTCACAAGAGCGCTCATATGGTGTACAGCACTATGGGAAATGCTTTCTCCACTTCGGGTTATTGGAAATACCACAGTCTGAGCTTGTGTTTATTGCAATACCAGATATATTTCCCCCACTCGCCCTCCTCATGACTTCAGGAGACAGGACAGATCTAAGAAGGAGAACAACCTTCTCGGTCACTAGGTCTATACGCTTGATGATAGTTGTCTTTCGTTTTTCCTTGAAATTTTAAAAAGCAAAATTTCCTTCCTCTTCTGATTTACTTAGGATATTCTCATTTTAAAAAAGCAAAGTGCAGATTAATATTGCTTATTATTGAGTTTTTTTTTTTTGTTTTATTTGTTTTTCATTTGACTCACAGTCTTCCCCTGGAGGGCATGCATTTCAGCTTCACAGAAATGCAAGAGTAAAGAGAGTAAACTGTAACAAATTATTTACAAGCACCTAGTTTGGTTAACCTTACACAGAAGCCATCTCTGTTGGGAAACAATGAGAACATTTCTTTTAGTAAAACAGTGCTATCTGGAAGCCTTACTGTGATGATTTTTTTTTTTTTCTTCCCAGGAATGAGGCACTGAAGAATGAGTTGTGCTGAAATTTAACTTAAAGGTCAGCTTGTCTGAATGCGCATAACTTTGGTTGAGATTTTTAAGGGGGGGAAAAAAAAAAAGGTCTTGAAAGCACCAGTTAATTACAAAAAGCATGCATACTTACACTCACAGTGAGTTCAGTGGCAAGAGAGCTAGTGAATCATACATGGCATTCCCCAAAGCATCTGCGTGAATTTCTAGAAAACAAACCAACCAGAAAGGAAAATAAAGCAAGAGAAACTGTAATTTCTCTGCTCAGGCTGGCAAATAAGCAGCTCTTCACGGAAGTGACCAGCAGGGCAGCGGTACCCACCGCGAAGTCAGTTCCATCCTTGACTCTGCAGCTAAGAGTTTGAGTAATCCTGGATCTACAGCTTGTAGGATTCAAAGAAAGAGACGAGTGAAATGTGTGATTCTCCAGGTAAGGAACACCCAAGGGAATAAATAAGACACCCAGGGTATCCCCCAAATAGACGTGTTGTTCTACCCGAGTTAGTAAAATGGAAGGCTGAGGTGGCTGCTCCAAGTCCACACCAAAGCCACTACAACTGACAATGACTTAATGGACATGAGCGCCTACAAAGATAAAGTGTATGTTAAATTTAGAACAGGAGTGGGTGGAACAGGATCACAATGGGATAGCATTATTGCTACAAGTTTCAAACGAGATATTTCACACAATACTAAATACCAGTCGGTATCCCGCCCTCTCCCAAATACATATATTATTCATGAGACACTAGTATTGAAAACCCAAGCTTATGAAAGTACAAATTTAATTCTCAGTACTTTTACACTAAGTTCAAAGAACCTACACAACACTCATCAGGAAAAAATTCCTAGTTCCATAATATCATGGAGATAGGGACTGTAAACTGTTAGAAAACGTTTTAGCATTACATGATCTTTTTTAAAAAATTACCGTAGTTATCACAATTAATAATTATGTTCCCTGCTCACAAAAAGGCACCTACCCATTATGAACAGACAATTCTTCATAATTACTTGCCACTACGTGGCATCGAGATTTAGGCATATAATCCATATAAATTTTTTAAAGAACCATGGTTTTTCATCAAAGCTAAAAATCCATCAACGCCTCTGACCACGTCCCAGTCAGAAGGACCACTGCATCTACCGCACAGGCTGTGCACTGCCCAGCGTGCGTGGGTAAGCGGTCACAGACCGGGGTGCGAGGTGCAGTCCGTGTGCAGGACCCAGCGGCCCTGGGTCAGCCGCCTGCAGCCCGACTCTGTACATTTACAGAGTCTCCCAGACCAAGCTAATCAAGTTGGGGCAGCTGCTGTTTGGTTGGAAATGACCAAGTAACAGCTACACCTGGGAGAGGCAGGCACCACCTGAGGGGTGGGAAGAGGTACAGATGTAAAGCAGGAATTTCTAAATACTTGCTGGTCTTTTAAAACTCAATGGCACTTTTTTATATGTGAGCAAAAATTCTCAAGGCCAGTTTTCTGGCCGAGTTGACCCTGAATTTAGCCAGCCAACTTAATTTCCTGATGTTAACTATCTGATCACAACATTTCAATTCCTGACCTAAACTGGTATCTGTTTTCATGTAGCTTTTAAAAATACTTTCTCAAGCTGACTGCGAAGGACAGCACAGTGACTACTTGGGGGTGGTGCTTTATCAGCCCATTCCTTTGTAAAGCACTTTGGGATGAAAGGTGTTCCCATTTAAAATTTAGCTACTACTGACAAGGACAGAACTGAAAAAGACTGAACAGTTATTTTTAAAGAAAGCATTAACTATTAATCAGAAAACATACCAATGAATTACCCAACAGTGTTAAGTAGACTACTTACTACACAAGATTCAGTTCTAGAATACAACCACGTCTGTGTCCATCACAGTAATTAGTCCTTCAGAGTTGTCCTTAAACGGGAATCTATAACAAGCTCCAGAATCATTTATTGAGAATTCATCTTGTAACCTACTGATTATGAGTTGCAAATGGAGGCTGCAAGCCCCTTAGTATTATCTTGAGGCCGCTGTGTCGTCTCAGTGTTGGGAAGATCACAGACCCACGGAGGGGAGAAGGCACTTGTCTTCCAAGAGATCACCTTGGGACAGGGCAGGCCTGACCACACAACGGCACCTTCAACTCTCGAGCCAGAGGCTGGAGCCTATGGGGGATTCTTCTCATGCCCTTCATTTGCAGAGGTGCCAGAAGTTCCCTACAGCACCACAAAACTCAGAATATATTCTAGGAGTTTTTGCCGGTTGCATTGAGGTAGGAAAGTACTGCTCAGTTCTAAGATGGATACTCTCTTTTGTTTGATCTCTTTGAAAACCTAAAGAAAAAGTTCAGATTCAATTATAGAAGGAAAAAAAAAATAAAAGGTATTTCTGTCACACACCCTGGGTCCTAGATCCCAAAAGGCAGTAAAGGCACATAAGACCACATCCTAGCTTTAACTGATGTATATGCGGTTGTGTGTGAGTGTGAGGAGCAGATACGGTATATTTAGGGAGTGGACTGTACTTTAAATGTAAAGGTTATGTTAAAATAAAGTCACAAATAATCCCTTTCAAAAGGCCACTATGATTTCCATGGAACTCATGTCTCACATGATATGTGAAGGTAAAGGATTCTGAGGATACCTCCAGGAACACCAGAAAATAACATCAATTAACAGCCCAAATCATGGTAGCATTTTGAAACATATTGATACATGTTACATAGAAATAGTTTGAGAGTGAATGTCAAACCAGCACAATTCTGGAACATTCAGATAAATCTATACTGATGGGTCTCACCTTCAACATACCCCTTCAACCCCATTCCCAGAAACGTCTTCACAACTGAATGAGCAGAAACTGCCTCTCTCAGGGCCCGCCCCCGACACAAAGATAGCTCAGATAGACTTGATCAAAAGAGAAAAGAAGTTAATGCGATCTTTTACACTGAACGGTGGCCACCTACCCCAATATCTTTAAACATTTTCACAGCATTCTTCACAAGACAATACGTGGCACTCTCCGCTGTAGAGAAAGAGTAAGAGCCAGTCAAATGTTTAGGTCCAGCAACACATGGAAAATCCCAGTATCAGGCCAGCAGGTGGCGTGGTGGTTAAGGTGCTGGACTCCCACATGGTTGACCATGATCTGAGTTCCAGATCTGGTGGCTTAAAACTCTCACAGGGCACATGTGCATGCGTGTGTATGCATGGCTAAGAGGAGAAGGGATTGTGGCATGGCCATCCCCCCTGAGGAGTGACTTCTCACTTTCCCTCTCTCTCTGGTGAGTGCACACACACCATGGCAAA